TACGCTGGGTCGACTGGAATAATGAGGGAAAATGACTTATTTACTACCCATTTACAGTGGGTCGACTGGAATAATGAGGGAAAATAACTTATTTACTACCCTTTTACAGTGGGTCGACTGGAATAATGAGGGAAAATAACTTATTTACTACCCATTTACAGCTGGGTCGACTGAAATATAAGTGAAAATGGCTTATTCAGTGCCCTTTTACAGCGGGGTCGATTGGAATATGAGGGAAAATGACTTATTTACTACCCTTTTACAGCGGGGTCGACTGGAATAATGAGGGAAAATGACTTATTAAGTACCCATTTACAGTGGTGTCGACTGGAATATGAGGGAAAATGACTTATTTACTACCCTTTTACAGCGGGGTCGACTGGAATATGAGGGAAAATGACTTATTTACTACCCATTTACAGTGGGTCGACTGGAATACTGAGGGAAAATACCTTATTTACTACCCATTTATAGTGGGTCAACTGGAATAATGAGGGAAAATGACTTATTTACTACCCATTTACAGTGGGTCGACTGGAATATGAGGGAAAATGACTTATTTACTACCCATTTACAGCTGGGTGGACCGAAATATAAGGGAAAATGACTTATTAACTACCCATTTACAGTGGGTCGACTGGAATAATGAGGGAAAATGACTTATGTACTACCCATTTACAGTGGGTCGACTGGAATAATGAGGGAAAATGACTTATTTACTACCCATTTACAGTGGGTCGACTGGAATATGAGGGGAAATGACTTATTTACTACCCTTTTACAGGGGGGTCGACTGGAATCATGCGGGAAAATGACTTATTCACTACCCATTTACAGCGGGGTCGACTGGAATCATGCGGGAAAATGACTTATTCACTACCCATTTACAGCTGGGTCGACTGAAATATAAGGGAAAATGACTTATTTACTACCCATTTACAGCTGGGTCGACTGGAATATAAGGGAAAATGACTTATTTAGTACCCATTTACAGTGGGTCGACTGGAATAATGAGGGAAAATGACTTATTTACTACCCATTTACAGCTGGGTCGACTGGAATATAAGAGAAAATGGCTTATTCAGTGCCAATTTACAGCTGGGTCGACTGGAATATAAGGGAAAATGACTTATTTACTACCCATTTACAGCTGGGTCGACTGAAATATAAGAGAAAATGGCTTATAAACTACCCATTTACGGTGGGTCGACTGGAATAATGAGGGAAAATAACTTATTTACTACCCATTTACAGCTGGGTCGACTGGAATAATGAGGGAAAATGACTTATTTACCACCCATTTACAGCTGGGTCGACTGGAATATAAGGGAAACTGACTTATTTACTACCCATTTACAGCTGGGTCGACTGAAATATAAGAGAAAATGGCTTATTCAGTGCCAATTTACAGCTAGGTCGACTGGAATATAAGGGAAAATAACTTATGTACTACCCATTTACAGCTGGGTCGACTGGAATATAAGGGAAAATAACTTATGTACTACCCATTTACAGCTGGGTCGACTAGAATATAATACTATATAACGGTTTTTAGGCACTTTAAAAAACGTATTGTACTATAATTTCATATCTTAAAAAAGTTGTTATTCAGCTATATGGGAGGGGGTGTGTTTTTGAAGACGATGGGTTATATGATGAAATAATCAAATCATAAATATTTCATTATACAAATTTAAAATAATTGAAAGGATATTACCTAATTTTACAGTCACAAACTTGGCCAATAAGAGTATTCATCAATTGGACTTACCAGGTGTCATGACTAAAGAATAGAATCTCTATTTAAGACGATATATCCATTAATTTCCTTAATTGCCCCAAAGAGCATGTTTCAATAATTTTTTTATTTTATTCCTTAATTTTTTCACAATTACTTAGTTTAATGAATAATTACTTAGTTTAATGAATAATTACTTAGTTTAATGAATAAGTACTTAGTTTAATGAATAAGTACTTAGTTTAATGAATAAGTACTTAGTTTAATGAATAAGTACTTAGTTTAAATGAATAAGTACTTAGTTTAAATGAATAAGTACTTAGTTTAAATGAATAATTACTTAGTTTAATAAATATTTACTTAGTTTAATGAATAAGTACTTAGTTTAATGAATTATTTCATTTTTTTATGGATTTATTTGATCATAGACAGATATTTTTGTATAGTTTTGACTTTGACACCAGGTAAGACCACCGATGAATAAAGACTCATTTAAAGCAAGTTTAATAGTTTCAATTTTTTGGTCGTTCTAAACGTTAGTTAAATAATATATAAATTGTAACACCCATAGTGACCAAAAAACGACTTAACTGTCTTGCCCTATATAAATTATTAATCATACAACACTATTTATATTTCAGGGGTATACCCAGGAGACTATGTGCTGTTTTCTTATGCAGATAGTAACAATGTAACAGGTACCTCTATTGCCGAAAGCATACAGTCATGTAGAGATAATGCACAATGTGTGACATTATCTTACAATGATAGCGAATGCGACTTATTCTATGACAACGACATCATAATAGATGCTATTACTGGGGATTATAATGACGAGGCGTTCATTATAACTGGTATGTAATAACCTCTTACGTCATGATAATAATTTGATTAAAATTATGTGTATTTTATTTTATCAGGGAAGTTGTAAAATGCCTTTTCATACAACCAAAAGTTAAAAAGTATGGAAAAGTTAT